AAAAAAAAAAAAAAAAAAAAAAAAAAGTCTACTCCCTGTTTGCTATCTTTATTTTGCTCTATTTACATTTTAGGTTTCTCACATAAGAGAAGCCATGCAACATCTAGCCTTCTTTATCTGTTTTACTTCACTTAACATTATAGTCTCAAAGCCGTCCATTTTCCTACAAATGACTCAAATTTATCCTTGTTTATGGCTGAGTCACATTCCACTGTGTATACACCACGTGTTTAAATGCGTAGTTTTTAAGGAAAAGTGCCAGAATTGTACATTTGGCGGAGCAAGAAAATACTGTTAGTATAGCTTCGGAAAGCGTGGAAAGAAAGTAAATACTTCTGTAACATGCTTGCTTTAGATGTCAGTAGGCGTCCCAGGGTGAGCTTGGTAGGCAGTCATCCCTACCTCAAAACTAAGCCCTCCCTTTAACAAAAGATAATTTCTCTGTAAAAATATAAACATTAGATCAATCCCTCAAGCGGGAAATGAAGGCTTTGGATGAAAACACACTTCATTCTGCATCAATGGGATATGCACGTCGGTTAGTACCACTGAGGTAGGGGAGAGGGCGTGACTTAGGCGAGCTGGGAAGAGAGGCACGGCGGGATGCTACACAGCAGGGCCTCTAGGGACCATATGTGGGCCTCTCGCGGGTTCTCGCGAGATGTGGACGCTCTAAAGCTCCTGGACACAGCGGAAAACCTACTGTCGCGACTCCTCACGGTCTCCTGCTCGGAGTCTCCCATGACAGACTGTACAGTTATTTTTGTTTTTCTCTTCCTCTCTTGTTCGGCCCACGTTCACTGCGCAGGGCCAGTTTCTCCCTCACCCCCACTTCCAGATAAACTTTTCGCCCATTTGTCTTGGCTCGTGCAGTCCTTGGCCGGCGATGAGGAGGACCTGGCGGCTGTGTCCAAAAGGAAGGACCGGAGGGCCGGGAGCGCGTCCTCCCAACCTGCGGACCCAGAGCCTCCAAGGCGCGTTTCGGGGGGTTCGTGACACGGACCAGGGAATGAGTTAAGCTGAACTGAATACATATTTGGAGACCTCCACGTCGGCCTCTCTCTGCTTTCATTGCTTTGGTCCGAGTTAGCTCCCCGTCCTGCTAACGCAGCCCGAGGAAAACCAACTTATAAAGAGGAGAGGTGCTCGCCCCACCGGTCCGGAAGGAAGTCTGTCCGTGACAGGCTGAGGCTGTTGCTGTTAGGCTGCGTCAAGGCACACACCGTGGCAGCAGCACAGCCGGAAAGGGAAAAAGAAAGAGGCCAGGTCCCACAGTCCCCTCCACGGCCGTGTCCCCAGCAGCCTAGATCTCAGGGTCCCACCCTTTGAGGGTCCCACCACCTCTCAAAGGTGCTCAGCTGGTGCTAAGATTCCAAAATAGAGAAAAATAAGCACGCTGGTCACAATGTGAGTATAAGGTCTTCCCTGAGTCAGACACTTCCCAGCCAGTAGGAATCAAATTTGTGATTCTCCTGCCTCAGCCTCCCAGAGTGCTGCAGTTGTAGGCCTACACCACCATGATCGACTCACTCATGTCTTTCTTAAATCTTTCCTTATTCTTCTGGCTTCATGGGAGGCTTGAAATATGAAAACTGTCATCAGAGGTCATTTGGTTTTGAGTCAAGAGACAAGCAGGTGAATGCAGCGGCTTCTGCACTGACAATGTTGTGCAGAGAGGGGGCGAAGAGGGTTTGACACCCTTTGCAGTTCAGTCCTAAAATAAACATCCATAAGTGGAACAGGGCTTGTTTGGGGCAGATTTGCTGCCTGACTTTGGCCTGCCTGCAGCCAGCACCCTGGGATCAGGCTGCAGCTTAGCAGCTTGTCTGTAAAAGCTGGGTCCTGGCCTCTGGCGTGTCCCTCCTTCCCAGAGTGGCAGGGTGATGATCCAGCGGGTGCTGACTCCTGTCTGTGTCCCCTCGTGCCCCACCCCCTGGTGAATTCCACAGTTAAGGTGAGTCCCTCCACCCAGGTCGGACTCCCTCTGGAGCCACTGCCAGTGATTACTGATTTCTTCCCTAAGAATTATGGGTGGTGCTAAGGTCCAGCTTGCCTCACTTGGGATTTGTTTCTACTGCAGTAATGGAGAAATGTTTCATTCTGAAGATACCACTGGCTCCTCTGAGGGGAGATCTTTGAGTCACCTATTAATATTGCAGTGAGGTACCGTTTCACCTTTCAAGTTTAGATCTGGCCTACTAAGCTTAAAAATAAGTCCCCGAGTTTGATCCCCAGTACCAAATAATAATACTAATAAGTCCCAATCTCTAGAACCTGTGCTTTTGTCTCCAGCTCTGACACCAGCACTTGGCGGGTGTGATTAAGGTGGAGGACTTGAGACGGGAGGTCATCTCGGGTTGTCTGGCTGGGTCCAGTATGCCCACTGGAGTCCTAAAACGTGGAGAATCTTTGCAAGGCATGGTGATGCGTGCTTGTAACTCCAGCTACTCTGGAGGCTGAAGCAGGGGGGTTGCAAATTCAAAGCCAGCCTGCTTCAGTCTCAGAATTTAAAAGAAATGTTTAACCGTGGGGTGCTCACTACGGCTTGCAGTCATTCCAAGCTGCCTGAGCTCGTGTCTGGCTGGCACCCCAATGGCCACTCAGCTCCACATTCATCCTGCCACTTGGAGGGACCTGTCCTTGTGAGGGTGCAAGAGGCCACTGCCTCCTTCCTTCTGTTTGTGACTCATTTGCATCCTCCCGAATGTCCCGCAGTCGCTGCAGGTCACAGCTGATTGGAGAAACCTGTCTTTAGGGAGGGTGATGGGAGGTGAGGGGGACCTGAGGACCCGGGCGCTCACACTCGGAGCGGGTTCTGAGGGCAGACGGCCCAGGCCCCGGGAGGAGGCATCACTGAGCCAGAGTTGGGCCTTCTCCTGGGAAAAGCACGGGGTGCAGGGGAGCCGCCTCCCCGAACGCAGCAGGACCGCGCAATTTTTGACTTTTCTTTTTCTTTTTTTAATTAACTGAGTTTATTGATGCATTGTAGGTATACATGATGGTCACATTCACCAGGGGGAATCTATAGCTGTACATGATATACCTTTGTTCTTTTTTAATCTTTATTAAGTTGATTGGTGCATGTTAGGTGCACAACACAGTTACATTCATCGCTGGGATCTTGCACCTCTGCGTGACTGATCAGGTTTTCATTTTTCCCCATTCCCCAGCCCTTCCCTCAGCCCCTCCGCGCTTCCCTGTTTACAAAGACTGTGTTTCCATGTTTTTCCTTTCCTCACATTTTTTCTTTTCCTTTTTCCCTTCCCCTACCCGTCCCGCTTCCCCTGCTCCTTCCGCCCGCTTCTTCCTGTTTCACAGTGTCAATTACACATTTTGATCCTTATTTACACTTTGACCTTTTCACACCAGAGAAACTATTTGGCATTTGCACATGTGTGCCTTATTAATTTCACTTGAGCATGGCCTCAGTGTGCATCCACCTAGCTATAAACCTCTCTAGCTTCTCATTCTTTATGGCTGAGTAGTTCTCTGTTTTATTTAAAAAATCACATCTTTTTTTATCTTGGTTCTTATCTTTCTGCAGAAAAAATACAGTTGGATTCATGCACGACTCCAACCTGGAGCGGGTAGGAGTGGGGATTTTACTTGCTTAACACCCTGAATCACGGGGACGTGCGGTGGGGAGCAGGGACAGAGCCACCAAAGCCTGAGTAGGCTCTGGGGGATAAAATACAAGCTGAGGCCAGGAAACCGTGTGCATCCTGTTGTTCCTGAGAACACATTCCTGAAGGACTTCGCCTGCGTCCATCCCCCGCCTCCCGAGGGGGGCTCGCAACATAGTACCCGAAGGCCAACCGTGGCATCTGAGAAAATGACTGAGGTGGGTGGTCTCCCTGACCTTGCCCTCTCCTGCTTCCCTGAAGCAGGACAGGCAAGAATTCTCTGACCTCCTCTTGTAGTTCCGGAGCACCTCACCCTGGAAGTGCCTTCCCGGTCCCCACAGACAAGCGAAGTCCTTAACCTCCCCAAGGCGCCAAGGGGAATCCGGACAGACCTTGGTGAGCCGCCCCAGGCTTTTCACCGTTGGCCATTCGTATTCTAGCCTCCAGGCATCCTCCACCACTGTCTACTTCTTCGTTAAACTCAGTATTCAAAAAGCGCACGAATCCCAGCACTCAGGAAGCTGAGGCGGGAGGATCCCTGTGAGTTCAGAGCCAGCATGGGCTACACAGTGAGTTCATACTGAACTACAGGGTAAGACTCTGTCTCCAAGAAAAGCATACATTTACCCATCTCTTTGGAGCTTCATTTCTAAAGGCTCCCATGTTCCATAAAACCTGTTACACAAATGTGTATGTTTTCCTCTTGCGCATCCATCTTTTATTAGAGGAGCCTCAGCCACGAGCCCGTCAGTAGGTGAAGTGGGAAATCTCAGAAAGGGTATAATAATCAGCTTTGAAACCCGAGCACAGGTCCCTTCAGAATACTTTCTGTCTCGCTCACTGATGTTCTGGGCATCTCCCGCTGTGCAGCTGGCCTTCCTCCCTCGTGTGTCAAATGAGATTCCGCATCCACGGGTCACTTGTACTGAGGTGCGTGTCACAGGGACTTCTGCGTCTCTACATTTGTGTGAATAATTAAGTGGCATCTCTATACACATTCAAATAGCATGCTTATTTTTGAAGTAGTAACAGGAAATGGTTACATGTTGATGCAGTTTTTTTTTTCTTTGTTGCTATGTGACACCGAGACAAGGATTTTACACAAAAGATTGGTTTTATTGAAATGACATTTGCAGAATTATGGGCAGTCTAGTTGCATGAAAGCTTCCATTTCCTGCCTTTGTACACAGTTTTACACATAGTTTACATTTGGCTATATATTTTTTTCTTGTCTTGTCTTTTTTTTTATTTTTCCTGGTACCAGGGATTGAACTCAGGACCTTGTGCTTGTGAGGCAGGTGCGGTGTACTTCTGGCTATATTTAACGTGTACTTTGACAAAAAAACAAGATCCCAAAATCCTCCACGTAGTACAACTAATTAATCTGAATTTGCTTTTTTAAACGTTAAGAAGAAAACCACCATTGTCTAAGGCTTACTTAAAGTGAGTCCTCATTTTTCTGCTCCTTCGTCTTCCCATCCTTCTGTGTGGCTTCCATCGCTCTGCTTACTCTGCAGTTGTGGAAAATAAAACATCTGGAGGGCCCCGGACTGTTCACATCCACAGAGCACCTCGAACCCCTTGTAAAGGCCAGCCTCGAGGACAGGTTTGCTCTTCCAGCACGAAAAACATCACCCTTCATTTCCACCCCAGATAAACTTCCGAAAGCTCGCACCGGCCACGCCTGGCTGCCCGCTGTGGCAGCTGTTTTAGTAAATTCTACTCCAGAGTGGGCTGCTGGGTGGCAGCAGTGGCTGGTGCCGTGCTGGGAAGCCCCGGGCCTGACAGTTACCGCCTTTCATCCCTGCGTGAAGTCCCCTGGAAGGCACCGGGCCAGGCCTTGCAGGTGACAGCGTGCGGATTTTCCTTCTTAATCCCCAGAGCTACTGACACACATTTCTCAAGACAATAGGCCACTTCCTGTTTCTCTCGGCCCAGGACAACAGTATAAAAACAGACCTCGCGCGCTTACGCTGGAAGAGTCCAAGCCCCGTGATGGGCCCACCTTCGTCCCGCTGCCCTGCGGCACCTCTAGGATGCTCTGCTGGGGGCTCATTGGGGGTGGCCTGCTCGTGTCCCCCGCTCTAATGTGGATAACACAGCCCTGAGGACACAGCCTCTGCTCACCCTGAGGGAGTCCCAGCCCCAGCGCCAGGCCCAGATTATACCTGAAGCCTCTCCCGAGAGCCAGACTAGAATTTAAAGCGTAATTTAGAATCTCCGCAAACAGCGGTCTGCACAAACCCAAGGAACGATGTTTTCAGTCAGAGAGAGAATACATTAAAGCGCTTTCATAGCAACAAAACCCGCCTCTGTAGAGTCCGCTAGAAGCACTCTTTCTATAGCCCCTCAGCCCTCCATGCCTGAAAATATCTCAGAATTTGGTCGTTAAGTTTTATTTTTGAAAAAGAATGCATTCTGTAAAACATTAACATGTTAAATGTGCACTCTTTGGAAACAAGAATACGTAACTGATATTACCGTGTAATCTATCCGTCTCAAGCCCACAGAAGACAACATTTTGAAGTTTTTTCCTTTGGTGTTTCGAGACAGTCTCCCTCTGTAGTCCAGGCTGGCCTCAAACTCACATCAGTCCTCCTGCCTCCGCCTCTTGGGAGCTGGGGATCACGGGAGGGGGCCACACGCTGGGCCTGGAAGTTCCCGGCCGTGACGTCACGATTCCTGAGTGACACGGCCTGCGCACGAGGGCAGCGAGGTCGGGCGGTCTCCGGTGGGCGACATCAAAGCTGCAGGCTGAAAGATACCTTGGTGGTGTAGCTGGGAACGGCCTCTGCAAGAACAACAGACCAACGTGAACACACACGGACGCTTCACTGCACAACCTGACGGCGCCACAGCCTGCGCCAACCGCTCCGCTGCTGGGGTCTGAGGTGGGAATGGCACGTGCTGTTTGCTACCCCCTTGCAGCTGAGTTTAAAGGTGGAAAGGCGCTGATGCTGCCACTCACACAGACTTCGGGGTTTTGGGAGCTGTAGGACCCGACGGCCATCAAGTCGGGCCGACAGAAAAGGCTGAAGGGCACTGGGGTGTGCAGCAGAGGTGGGGTTTGTCGGCTCAGGGAGCACGGGTTCGAAGACCAGTCTGGCCGTTCCTGAGCCTGAAGGGACTTCCCAAGCCGACAGCCACGCTTGTCCGCGGATGGCCCCGGCCTGCAGGCTCAGTGCAGCCTCGCCTGAGTTGGTCACAGCCGCATGTGGAGCCTCAGATGCTCCGACCTGGTGTTCGCTGCAGGCTGAGAACAGTCAGGGCTTCCGCCCTCAGCATCCTGGGCCACACGAGGCACAGGCCCATGGGACCAACGACATCTGTTTAGTCCTGATACACTCGGACTCTCATGACTCAGACGTGGCTCCGATGGTGGAAGAGATAAAAGAGGGACACGACCACAACACACACGCTGTCTGGGTGTGGTGCTGCACGCCTGTGATCCCAGCACTCAGGAGGCTGAGGCAGGAGGATGGCTTTGAGTTTAAGGCCAGCTTGGGCTACGTAGTAAGACCCTGTCTCCAAAAACAAACAAAGAGTGTATCTCTCTACCTCTGTGTCAGACAGAGGATGATGTCCTGAGAATTCAGTGCACTAGGAAAATTTCTCATCTTTTGGGTTCAGGGGAGGTAAATGTCTACAAAGTAGCCTGCCCTCCTCACTGAGGCTTTTGGCCGTTTGACATATGTCAGTAGACACATCGCATGACTGAGTAGAACTCTGCATGTTCATTTTAACTAATTTCAGGTAGGAGCAACCCACCTCTTTCTTTGAGGTCTTCGATGTAGGCCTTCATAAATTCCTTATCGAGATGCCGGCGGTCCTGTTCACTCTCCGTGCTGTCCTGACCTTGCTCACTCCCGGTCTTGGCGATGGGGCTGTCCATGAGGCTGACAAACCTGCCAGGAAGCACGGGGACCGCAGCCCCATCACACACAGCACCCGCAGACACCACTCACGCAGGCCGCCCTCGGGTTCTGGACCCCAGGGTCTCTCTTCTCCCTGAAAGCCGACCCCACAGTCCGAGCCTCACAGTGGCACTGCGCAGTGGAGGAGCCCACCCGGAGCAGGGGGTCAGGGGGTCCAGAGCTCCACGGGGGACACAGGTGCCAACTGGAGAAGTGGACTGGAAGTGGACACCCACGCTTCCTCTCTGCCAGACTCTGGCTCCATATGGTGCCCTACACAGTCTGACAGTCACTGACATCAAAGGACACAGAGAACGGCCCAGAAATGAAGTTCGTAAAAGAGGAACTACTACTGTCAGGCATGACGGTGCTCACCTGTGATCCGGGAGGGTGAGGCAGGGGGATCACTGTGAGTTTGAGGCCAGCCTGGGCTACATAGCGAGACCTACCTCAAAAAACAAACAACAACAAAAACTACCACTATAAAAAAGGAGCTAAAAGAAACCAAAATGGCATTTGATCTTCTGTGTTCGTGGGTAAAGATGTTTGGATGTGAAAGATGAAATAATTAGTTCAGTTCAAAAATTGGAAATCTCGTATGTAATTATAGGCCCGACTATCTCAAAGGGCTAGTATGTTCTCACTGGTTCATAAGCAGTGAGATGTAAATATATATTTATATAAACATTCATACAGCTCTATAAAGAATATATGAGTGAGGTGGGATGCAGATGTGATGATGTTTAAACTTTTTAGCGCATGACAGTGAAAGACACATTGTCGTTAACCCTCCTAAAACTCCTCCCCTCTCTTCCAACGCGCTCCTCCCATGGTCCTCCCCACTTCCTGCAGCAGCTCTGGAGTCCTCTTTCCTGAGGGTCTGCAGTTGCGCTGTCCTGGCTGGATTCAAAGTGTTTCCCCTTCGCAGTCATTTGACTTTGGGAAGAGCCAGAGTCACGCGGTGTCAGGTCAGTGAATGAGGTGGAAGAGGACACGGTGACGTCTTTACGAGCTGCCTTTCTGTCGGACGGCGCTCGGCGGCGGCAGTAGTCACCGTATTTTTGATCACATGTTGTAAAGACCCTCGGGGAAGAGGACTCCAGAGCTGCCGCAGAAAGAGGCCGGAGCGATGGGAGGAGGGCTGTGAGGGGACTCGCGCAGTGTCTTTTACCGCCATGATCACACAGTGTTGTGTCGAGGGGAGAGCAGGGCTGGGCCACCCGGTCCAAGGTGCAGACACAAAGTCAACACGAACTTCTGCCCTCCTCTCCGGCCTCGCTGTGCGCTTCCATCCGGGCACCTGGGGTCGCCTCGGGCTCCTCCTCCTGCACTGGCTCCTTGGGTCTCCTGCTCCTCAGTCTCCAGTGTCTCCCACTCTAGGAAGACCTGTTTGTTTTCCTAATAATTTATCTATGAATCACTGCAAGCATCGTGATAGCTACGCCTTTGAAACACAGCGTAAATCTTTTTTTTTTTAAGAGTAGGAAAAATTTGAGAGAAAAACAGCTTCTGTCTAAGAGAGACAGAAAGGGGACAAGAGAGTGGATTGCTCCACAGTGTGATTCTTGCCATATAACTATCATTTTTCAAAATTATCGTGGCCTTCACTTTCTCCTTTACAGATGTACATTGATTTGTTTTGTCTTGGCAGTATGGGGTTGAACTTGGAGTCTTTGCACTGAGCTACATCCCCATTCTTTTTTCTTTTTTTTTTTTTTTGGTTTTTTTTTTTTTTTGGTTTTTTTTTTTTTTTCTTTAATTTTGAGACAGGGTCTTGGTAAGTCACTAAGTTTCTTAGGCTGGACTTGAACTTGAGATTCTCCTGCCTCAGCCTCCCAGAACGCTGAAATTATAGGTGTGCACCATCACACTTGGCTTTAGAAATACATTCAAATCAGTTTTGCAAGCTCCAAGAAAGAAGTTCCACTGGAGTCATGGCTACAATTATATTACACTTAAGTATAATGTTTGGAAGAAATCACACCTTTATGGTCTTTCCTCTTAGAAAGACAGAACGTGTCATAGTTTGGGTCTGGAACATCTCCCAAAGGCTGGTGTGGCCAAAGCTTGATCCCAGCAGGGGGCACTGCTAGGAGGCAGAGGAAATTTTAGGAGGCTGAGCCTAGTTGGAAGAAGCAGGTCACCAGGAGCAGCCTTGAAGAATATATTTTGCCCCCTCTTTTCCTCTTCCTCTCTCCTCCTCCTCTTCCCTCTCCTCCTCCTTCCCACCCCTGCCACATATCTTACTTTTTTTTTCTTTTTGGTACCGGGAATTGAACTCGGGACCTTGCCCTTGCGAGGCAGGTGACAGCACCACTGAGCTACATCCCCGGCCCTGCCACATATCTTACTGCGAGGACAGGGAGCTGGGAAGGCTTAACTCTGCTGATGGTGAGCATTCACCAACCCGTGCAGTGGGATTCGCAGTGAAGACCCCAAAGTGCTGTCAGTCAGCACCTGGGGTCCCAGCACGGCACCCCTGGACAGACACTGGGGGTGCACGGGACGCTCCACGCTGCTAGGGTCAGACCAAAAGGGTCTCAGGGTAGCGAGGACGGAGACCCAGAGCCACACACGTTGGCTGTCCGCTGCTGTGGGGAGTTTTAGGGGAGAATGAAGCTAGGGCGTCTCTGCTGCTCTTCAGGGGAAGGCGGACTACTCCGCTTCCGGCCCCCGTGGTATCTGTGTATCACAGATGGTTCTTCTTGGCCCTGGATGGCTCACGGGTTCACTGGAGGCCACCGAAAGGACAAGGCAGGCGGGGAAGGTTCCTTGACAGCGGTCGCTCCCGCCGTGGGTGCAAACCGCAGATCAGGGGCCCAGCTTCCATCCCCACACCAAGCCGCGTTTGTCCAGAAACCCTCTCCAGCTCGGCCTTCCTGCGCCATCTGCCAACAGCTTCGAAGTCCCCCGAGAAGTGGTCTGGGCACGGGTTCTCGGAGTGTGAGAACCACGTGGTTCAGAGACAGCGGCCCAGACCCAGGGCCCACAGCCCTACCTGGTGAGGAAGCTCTACCAGCCCTCAGCCCACTCACTTTAAAGGTGAGGACTCATCGCAGAGGGCACTTGGGAACTCCACCAAATGGTCACCGCTGACCACCAGCAAGGTGAGCTTCTTGAGGTTGAGCAAGGCCTGAGGAAGGTAAGTCAGCTTGTTTTTATACAGGAGGAAACTCTGGAGCTCTTCCAGCCTAAGGGAGAAGGAGAGGGGCCAGAAGAGAACACTTGGCTTCAGAGTGAATAACAAATACAGCCCTTCTCGGTTCAGTGCATTTCTGCAGCCTGGGTAGCTGGGTGTGGTGGCGCACACCTGTCATCCCAGCACTCGGGAGGCTGAGGCAGGAGGACCACCTCAAGTTCGAGACCAGCCTGGGCTACATAGTGAGTTCAAGACCAACCTGGACTACTTAGCAAGAACCTGTCTCAAAAAAATAGAAAGAAATTAAGAAAAAAAGAACAAACTTGCTTCACTTTTTTGTTTGTTTGTCTGTTTTGTTTTGTTTGTCGTTTTTTTTTTTGAGACAGGGTCTCACTGTGTAGAGACTGACCTGGAACTCAGCCCAGTCTGGTCTTGAACTCCCAGCAATCCTCCTGCCTCAGCCTCCCATGTGCTGGGATGACAGGCATGCGCCACCATGCCCGGACACTTTTTAAATAATAAAGAAAATCGTGCCAAGTGACATCATATTTTTTAAGTTGGCACAGACTTAATTGCTGGTTAAAGACACAGGCAGAGCAGCGGGGTGAGTTGGTTGTGCAGTGTACAACAGGCCGCACTGGATGGGGGTCAGTAAATCCCTCCTGTCCACATCCCCTGCATTTCCGGGCTATGTGGGCACAGGGAGGCAGTCGTGCCCGGATTAGTGTAAGAATACAAAGGTCATGCAGCCTCACAGCACAGCTCCTCGCCTCCCGGCTTATTCTCCTACATTAACACTGGACTAAAGCCGCAGGGTGAGAAGGGAATGGGCCGAATGTGCTCCAGGGCCTTCTCTTCTGATCCCTATCTCAGAAGGGGAACCCGTGACCCTCTGTGCAGACCCTTCCTTCAGTCCTGAGCAGAATCCTGACTAACGCCGCAAATCTCTCACGAAATTCCTCTCGGGTTTCCAACTCAAACGATTCCAGCTTAGTCTGCTGAACCTAGGCAACCCCGGGGCACAACCTACGTTCAGAGCCAGAAGTCAGGCCTGCAGCACTGCTGGCCGTGTCCCCAGAGTTACCTGTGCTTCTTTATAAGTAAGGTTGGAGATTTTGGGGGGCCACACTATGTCTCATCCGCTGTTTTAAACCCAGCCCGCTTCCCAGGCCGCCAGACAAGAGTTCATAATACTGGTGAATGAATGAATCAATCATACATGTTTCCACGTAGTCATTATTTTAAATGAATTAACTAATTCATTGTAGTGGTGCATTTAAGGCCAGGGATTTAGCTCTGTGGTTCTGCCACCTGCCTCGCAAGCCCCAGGTCCCCAGTTCGATCCCCGGTACAATAAATAAATAAATAAACATGCAATAGCTACAAGGGTATAATTTAAAAACATAACTAAGCATGTCGATTCTGTTTGAAAGATTATGCCTGATAAAAAATGAAACTAATAAAAAACGTCCTCACCGACATTCTAAACCCAGAGCGCTTCTGGTCTACGCACAGCTCTTTACTCCTGGGGCAAAGGGCAGTTGATTGTGGCATTTCAGGAAAGACTGAAGCAAACTGAAGGGCCCGAGGCAACGAGGATGAAGTCCAAGCACAGAAACACACGATATGGTGACACAGATTGCAAATGGCCTTATTCTATAATTTCGCAGAAAACTTAAACTCCGGGCAATTAGTCGCTTTGCAAGCCTCGGCGCGGGTGACGCATGCGCGGAGCGTGCACAGAGCTGCCCTCGCACCTGTCTATGTCCTGCGGGAGGTCGCTCAGGCTGTTGCTGCTGATATCCAGCCACTGCAGACTGGGCATGCGCAGGACGCAGATCGGGACGCTGGCAAACTTGTTGGCTGAGATGTCTAGGAATGTAACTCGCTTCAAGTTACTTAACTGAAAAGGAATCATAAAATACCCTGGTCACCCTCAGAAGAGAGGGAATAGAGTTTGATGAATACTTTGTAGAAGGACGCTTCTTCCCCTCAAAGGCATCTCTGAATGTGTGTGAAACAACAAACGGAGCCTTGTCGCCGGGAGCAAGCGCAGGACACTAAGACACTCCTGGCTCAAGGAGCCTGTCCTTTCCCAGAGGAGCAGTGCCATGCTATGGAGTAAGAACTATGTGAGCTGTGTCTGGTAACATCCACCCGGCATCACAGAGGGGTGATCAGGGGTCAGAAAAGACGTCACAGGCCAGGAGTGGTGGTGCACACCTGTGATCCCAGCACTCGTAAGGCTGAGGCAGGAGGATCGCTGACAGTTCTAGGCCAGCTACACAGTGAGTGCAAGGCCAAACTGAACTACAAAGCGAGACCATGTCTCAAAGGAAGAAAGAAAAAGAAAGGGAGGAGGGTATGAGAGGAAACCCAGGGTGGGGAACGGCATGTGAGAAGTCACAGGAAGTACAAATCCTAAAGGGTGGATTGACTTGGAGAAGAATGTATTAATCAGGCTGACAAATCCTTTTTGTTTGTTTTTATTTTTTCGAACAGGATCTCACTATACAGTTCAGGCTGATCTTGAACTCAATATGTAGCCCAGGCTGGTCTTGAACTCACAGTCCTGCCTCAGCCTCCCGAGTGCTGGGATGACAGGCGTGCATCACCACAATAAGCCTGACAAATCTTAAGGGAACCCACACTTGGGTTGGTAAAATGACATGGCAAACACTCACAAATCTCTACTGTTATGTTTTATATGTATGATGCTTTAAATATGTTAACTGAAATGCAAGAGGAAATATATTTTGTTTTCATGCAAATCTATCAAGAGGAAAGTAAGAAAAGCATCTGTAGGTTTGGCTGTCTCAGTTTGGCAGTTACTCTGAAACACAGGAGAAGCTGCATATCACTGACTTATTTGAAGAGTCCATAAATCAAACTCAGGCTGCTTCTCAAAATACATTTTCAACACAGCCAGGAAACATGGAGCCAGTGACAAGAGCATCAGCGGGAGAACTGTGCTCACCCCATTCCCCTGCAGGGTTAGCAGGGTCCTCATGTCCACTCAGCAAAAGCTCACTGAGTTTTACCAGGCAACAAAAACCACTTTCCTCTGCTGTGTTTGACTAGAAAATGACTTAAAATCACTTGTTCATGAACAGAGTCCAAGAGAAACTAATGAATATTTTGTAAATTAATGCACGTCTTAAATCTCATCTGTAGGACAATTTCAGTCATCTACAAGTTCTACTTTGAGTGTATGAAAAAAAAAATTCTCACCCCCTCTATTTATAGAGTAAAGCCGGCTCCACCACGGCAGATAAATAAGTTGGGGCCTGTATTATACACAACAGGCATCATACATTAAATTTCGAAGTCTTGTGTGAAAATAGGATATTTTGCCTGGTCTTCCTTTGACAGGATTGGATTTGATAGGAGTTCTAAGTTTAAATGCAGAGTCTAGCATAATAACATTTTTAGACTTTATGACAGCAGGTATGGGGTGACCGAAATGTCAGGAAAACTGATGGATTTCATCCTTTCAAACATCTTGCCCTATTTCCTGACCATCCCACATCATAAAGAAACGTAAATCACATCCCAGAAGTGCTGATTTCTTACTTCAAAGGGGAGCTCCGTGAGCTCCAGGTTCCCAGAGCAGTCCAGCCTCTCTAGCCCCACGCAGTCCCCCAGGGCCTCAGGGATGCTTGTCAGGTGGTTGAAACTCACGTTGAGCTCTTTCAGGTTCTTCAGCCGACCTGGCATCAAAAAGAGGTCATTTCCACTGGGCAGGGCCCTCAAGGTCTTTCGGGAACAGGCACAAAACTAAGGAGTCAGCTGGGTGTGTGCGCGGCCAGTGAGTCAAACCAGCAGGTTGTTTACAGAGTGAGCCCACTTACTGTGTATCTTCGGTTCGTGTCTCCATTAACTTAACTATGACGTGGCAAGAATATGGGAGAAGTCGCTTCCACAGACAGGAAGCAGTACATGCGGAGTAACAGGAAGTAGTACTCTCAGAATAACAGGAAGTAGTACACTTGGAATAATAGGAAGTAGCCGGACTGAATGGAAAATAGTGTATCCTAGTTCTGATTCTTGATTGCATATCCACACACCCATTTCCAAAGTAGAAAGCAACTCAAGAACAGATATATAGAATACTCTAAACACCTTGCCACACACCATTCTTAAACTAATTTTAAATTAGGAAATTACTGTTTACTTTTGCAGAATAAGCACCCAATATACAAATATCTTGTCATTTTATAAATGAGAGAGTACAGAGCACAAAGAGTGCATATTGGGGCGAGGCCACTGCTGATCAGCTTTGCTGGGTCTCGCGTTACAAGATGGCACCCACAGCCCTCTAATCACCACCTAACACCGCGCGAACCTCCCAGAGGATGACTGTGGTCAGAGGAGCAGAGAGAGGGAGCCGAGATAAACAGGGAGACCGCTGCCTACACACAGGACAGATGCTTTCCACGGCTTCCACTTCTCCAAGTCTGTGCACCACAGACTCTGTCTTCCGTTTCAATAAGGAAAAGCAGGGTCGGCAGAGATGGTGTGAATGTGCCACTTGTGTCTAGCTTTCCGACACAGCAAAGCAAAAGGCCCAAACAATAAATGGGCAACCGAAATGAACAGATACTTCTCAGATGGACATGTGCAAATGGTATTCGCATGAAAGCATGTTCACCATCTCCAGCCATCAGAGAACAGCAAATTCAGACAACATCGAGATTTGGTTTTACCCCAGAAAGAACGGCCATCATGAAGAAATCAAATAATAACACATGCTGGTGAGACTGCAGGGAGAAAGGACCCTTCTGCCCTGGGGGTGGGAGTGTCAGCCAGCACAGCCACTAGGGAAGTCGGCATGAAGAGCCCTCGAAACACCAAAAGCAGAAATCCCACTCAGCCCAGTTATCCCCCCCACTGGCATCTTCCCAAAAGAGTTAAAGACATCACGCTACAGTGATCTATAAATACCCACGCTTACAGCAGCACAGCTCACAACAGCGAAACTGGGAGGCAGCCTGTACGTCCATCAACAGATGAGTGGATAAAGAAAAGGAGGTACAGGGCCAGGGATTTAGCTCAGCAGTGCCGCCGCCTGCCTCGCAAGCACAACGACCCAAGTTCGATCCCTGGTACCAAAAAAAAAAAGAAAAGAAAAGGAGGTACTGACACACAGTGGAGCACTACTCTGCTATAAAGTGGAATAAATCAGCGCCACTGGTAGGAAAATGGATGCACCTCAAGACCATAAATTTAAGTGAAATAAATCAGACACACAACTTAAATATAGCATGGTTTCTCTTATATGAGAATCCCAAAGTATAAGTAAATTAAAGAATGAAATAAAAGACAGATAACAGGCAATGAGAGAGAGATTTTTTTTTTTTTTTTGCAAAAGGGAAGGGAGCCAAGAGCGGGGAGAGGAGGATGGGAGACGGGAAGGGCGTGAATGAGAACTGAGGGTCACTGCTCTGCACGATAAACATCTTCACCGTGTGCTGCCAGCGTGGACTGACGAGGACAGCCGTCCTCAAACGGACCTCTGGGGTCAACACAATCCTTATGGAATTCCAGTACACTGTTTTATATAAAAATTGACAACTAGGGCCGGAGATTTAGCTCAGCGGCTTGGTGGCCTGCCTCGCAAGCACAAGGACCCGAGTTCAATCCCCGGTACCAAAAAACAAACAAACAAACAAACAAATAAAATAAAAATTGATAACTAGATCCTAACACTTAAGACAGAAACACAAAGTACCCAAGGAAAAACTTGTTAATGAAATAAATATGTATGTGTTAAACAATCACAGGCCCTGCTTGGCAGAGGCCACGGCTCCACACAGCAGGACACCCTTGTGCCCAAAATGCCTCCTCTGACTCTCAGGAGGGGTGCGGAGAGAAGGCAGAGGAACTGAAGGCAGCCCCGGCTTCTGCATAAAGATGGTCAAAGGAAAAGCCATAGCTTTAGAAATTCTATCTCAAGCCTAACATTGTATTCTTATTATTCTGTGTGTGTGTGTGTGTGTGTGTGTGTGTGTGTGTGTGTGTGTGTGTGTTACTGTGGACTGAACCCAGGGCTTTTACACTGCACTGCATCCTCAGCCCTCAGTTTTATTTTTCATTTGTGCAGCTTGAGACAGAGTCTTACCAAGTCACTAAGTTGGCCAGGCTGGGCTCCAACTTTTGATCCTCCTGCATCAGCCTCCCACAGTCCTGGAACTACAGGTGTTTACCACCGTACCCTACTTGCTATTCTATTTTTTAAACTGACTCACAAAGATTGCACACACTGCCATGGACGTACACCTGTAATCCTAGTTACTCAGAAGACTGAGGCAGGAGGATCACGAGTTTGAGGCCAGCCTGGGCAGTTTAGCAAGAACCTACCTCCAAATGGAAACAGCTCAGGGGCAGATCCCTGGACTCACACAAGCAAGGCCCTGAGTTCAATCCCCAGCATTGGAAAAAAAAAGTATACATATCTGTGGGCTACTACGTGACGATCCAACACAGGAACATTGTTTAGAGAGAGACGTGAAGACCAACAATATCTTAACGATGCACAGATCAAAGAAACTGGACATCTGCACGCAGACCATGGTCATTCTGGCCACTCACTACTTTTCCTTCCTCCGTCGGTGGAAAGAACTTGATGCTACTCATCCGAGAAGGGCTGGGTTTTCTCTCTCAAAGATTTAGGCCAAAAGCTTCATCCACCAGACATGGAGCCCAGGAAACAACACGATTCATTCTTTTAAGTGCTCTGTGAAATCTTTACCTCACATCAGCACAGGTCTTCACAGCCCTGTCTGCGGGATGGGGTGGACGCCACCGCGCTGCTGTCCTCAGCTGTGGGAGCAGAGACTTGAGGGCCTGAGTCCCTCACCCAGACGCCAGGATCCTGCCTGCCTAATGCTCCCTCTCCTCCCGCCCCTTCCTGGCTCACGGCTTCCCGCTCTGCTCTCCCACAGCGTGTGCCCCATGGGCCTCTCTTCAGATTTCTTGGCAACGCTTTGATTAATGTAATCTGCGAGGGCAGCTGACACACGTGGTGAAAGTTTAAATATAAATATTCATTACAGTAAAGCACACACATTGCCCTGAGTTCCCCCGAAACTCCTCCCCCCCACTTCAGACACTCATCCCACGGTCCTCACTGCTCCCTGCAGCAGCTCTGGAGTCCTCTTTCTTGTGTGTCTTTCCAAGCTGTGACCGAAGACACAGTGACTGCTGCTTCTGGGCACCATCCAACAGAAAGGCATCTCATGAAAACACGACACTGAGTCCTCATCCTCCTGATTCACCAGCTCTGGCAGCGTGACTTCTGGCTCCTCTGCAAAGTCTCAGTGACCATGAAAGGTCAACGTTTTGAATCCATTCAGGACATCAAGGGAGCCAGGATAGTGCAACTAAAGACCCTCAGGAAAGAGGACTCCAGAGCTGCTGCAGGAAGTGGCAAAAATGATGGGATGAAAACATTCACAGCATTTTTCTGGTCACGCCATATTTCCCACCGTGGCCACGTGGGGGCAGGGAATGTGTTCTGCTTGTCATTTTCTTATTGTCTAGTATTGTATCTGGCATAAAGCAGGTACTCCGATATTTTTTCTCGTTTGCACCCAGTCGGTGCTCGATGAATGTGCCTTGAATAGATGCACTTACGGAGAACCATGCCTGGAAGCTAATTTGGATGAGCCCCTCGGAGGAGGACTGGAGGCCTGCCAGGCAACAGACTTCACAAACAGCTGTGAGAGGGTGGGGGCAGGTGGCAGCCCTGAGGCCACAGCAGGCAGGACAGGACAGGGGCTCTGCCGGGGAGGGCCCTCAGCAGTGTGAGGGGAGGAAGGAGGGGAACAGGTGCAGATGGACGGGAGAGAAAGTAAAACAAATGAAAGATCTGAAAGTTCATTTTCAAGGTTCTCAATCTTTGTCCAGAAAGACAAGGCGTGGACGGAAATCTCAGCGCAATCATACAAGCAGAACACGTGACCGTTTCATCAGTCCCTGCAGAAGGCGACAAGGAGAGGGCTTGGAGCAGTGAGCAAGAACGAGGGTGCAGTGGGGGGCTCTGTTCTCAGGGACCGGAGCCCCACCCGGGGTCGGCGCTCAGCAGGGCCTGGCAGCGCACTGCCTATCGGAGAGTTGCCTTTAATTAAAACGCTGCCTCGAACACACAGCTGTCCTCGCGGGGTCTGATGGGCGGGCCCTGGCCCCACCCCAAGCGTCTGAGTGTAGACAGCTTAGTAAACCTGCGTTGTCCAGACGCCCTCATCTGCCGGCAGGTTAAAGTGCCCATGGCGTCAGGGTCTCATGCGGGGAAAAGGAAAAGTCTGTCGAAAAGAGTTTTGTCAGAGGTCAGGCATGCAATAAACACCCAGGAAAAGTCAGCTTTGGGGACAAGGGCGGGAGAGGGAAGGAGCGGGCACAGGCAGCAAGGCTGTGACTACACAGAGCTCCCAGCAAACCCCGGGCACTGGCTGCATGCCGGCTTCAAGGCCACGGCTCTTCTCTTATCAGAGGAAAAATTGTGCACAAATAATCCCTGGGTTTGACCCCAGCACCGACCGAAAAAGGAAAGAAAGAAAGAGCTCATTAGAAAACAATGTCACTTTACTCTTCCTGTACCCATCCACCCTGAACCACAGCTCAGGGAGCAGAACAGCCAGCCCACCTCTTGTGGTGCCAGGGTGCCCAGGCCAATGGCCCTTGTTGGCCAGCACACAGCCAGTCAGACCGTTTGTTAAACCCTGGAAATGAAGCCAGACCTCCCGAGGCCAGGGGTGGAGGGACTGTGTCACTCCGGCCACACAGTGTTTCTCTGCACCGAGCTACAGCCCGGGCTGTGGACAGAACGCCAGTGATTCCCTGTGACCCCCAGGCCCGGAACAGAAGGACAGCCTGGGAGGGCTGGGGACAGCCTGGAGACGGACCCTGCAGAAGAGGACCAAAGAGAAGACCGGGCTCCTGATGAGATGAACAGGCAGCCACGCCACAGGGACGCATTCACGGACGCTCCAGCCCCGGGGCCCTGCTCTGGAAGAGTTGTACCCTTGGCCTCACGCCCAGGTCCTGCGAGGGGAGGTAAACAGGACGTGGTGCCAGGGATGGAGACAGCCTGTGACCTCCAAGCTGTGCCACAGGGACCTAGAAGGAAATGAGCTTTGCCCGGGTGCACAGAGGAGGACAGAGCCACGAAAGGCAGCCATGTGGTCCTAGGGAGACTGAGCCTCTCCACTACTGGACACATAAAGCACACTCCGACTCCCGCTTTGTAGACAGGGAGACGGAAGAGCGGAGAGAGTAGCAGAGTGCCCCAAATCATACTGGGCCCTCCCCCAGGTGCGAGCACATCCTCTCTCTCCCCCCTGCATTCCTCAAGAAAAGAACAGTCATCCGGCTGGCGGTAATGTCGGGGAAGATCTGTTAAGAGAATAACAAAAATACGTGGTACCAGCCTGGCGTCTTGGTGCACCCCTATAATCCCAGCCCTGAAGAGGCTGAGGCAGGAGGATCGCTGAGGGTCTGGGGCCAGCCTGGGCTACGCAGTGAGAAACTGTCTCCAAAAAAATTATTTTTAATTTAAAAAATAAAAAATAAAACAAACAAAACAATAAATAAATAATTTTTAAAATAAAAATACTTGGTAAGGGCCGGGATTTAGCTCAGTGGTTCCGGCTCCTGCTTTGCAAGCACAGGGATCCAAGTTTGATGCCAGGTACCAAAAAAACAAAAACACTTGGTATGTGGGGCACAAGATTTGAGACAACTGGGTATCTTTTCAAAAGAATTAAAAGAATCATACCACAAGTGATATATGTGCACCTATGTTTATAGCAGCACAGTTTTTAATAGCTAAAACTTAGAAACAGCCCAATTGCCCAACAATTGGAGACTAAATAAAGATGTGGCTTTTCTATAAAATGGAGTACTACTCAGCCATAAAGAATGAGAAACTAAAGGCATTTATAAGAAAATGGATGCATATTGAGGCCACAGTCTTAAATTAAATAAATAGGACACATATGAGTAAATACTGAATAGTTTCTCTGGTGTGAAAAACTAAAAGTGTAAATAAGATTCAAATTGCACAAGTGATAATATGAAATAGGAAGAAAAGGGCTAAAAAGGTACAGGGGAAGTGGGAAGGGTAGGGAAAAGGAAAGAAGGGAAAAGAAAAACTATGAGAAAAGGAAAAAAATGGAAACAAAGTCTTTGTAAATAAGGAAGGGTGGAGGAAGTGAAGGGAGGGCAGGGGTAACGGGAAAAAAATTAAAACCAAGACCTGTCATGTAAAGGCACAAGATCCCAATGAACGGTACTGTGTACCTAAAAAGTACCAATAAACTCAACGGAAAAAAATCTCTAAAAAAAGATTTGAGACAACTGCAAATATGGTGGGGGAAGGTGGCCAGGCTCACCCCCCCATGGGACATGCGATTCCCAAGCCAAAATGACAAGGACCCCTGAGCGGGCTCAGCCACCACAGCTTCTCAGGTGTGCAAGGTCCACCTGGAAGGGTTTCTCAGGTAACTCAGGCCTCAGACACTGCGCCCTGTTACTGGCATTCACCGTGAACCTGTCCCTAACGGCTTGGAAACAGTCGGCGCTGGCTTCCGGCCCTGGCCGTCAAGAAGTCCTTAAGTCAACAGCTAAGTGACAGTGGCTGAGTCAGCCCATGCCATGGAACCTGCTGGCTCTGATCTGTGTGACCCCTGCAAAGATGACACTTTCCAGGAAACTCTAGGGTCCTTTTCACCTTTCCCAACACTGGGCGAGGACACACAGCAGCTCCCAGGTCTGGGCTACGCTGATCTCTCCCCGCTCACCAGCCCCCCTAGACCTTTGGTCCTCGCAAACCAAAACACAGGCAACCACGGTCACTGCAGTCTTCACCTTAAAATGACACAAATCAACAATGAAATGATTGAGAATCGTAAACTTTTTTTTTTTTTGGTACCGGGGATTGAACTTGGGTCCTTGCGCTTGCAAGGCAGGCCACCGAACCGCTGAGCTAAATCCCCGGCCCAAGAATCATAAACTTCTGATTAGTCAAAAAGTTATAATGCACACCTGTAATCCCAACATTCAGGAAGCTGAGGCAGGAGGATCACCACAAAAGGCCAGCCTGGCCTACTTACTTAGTGAGTTCAAGGGCAGCCTGAAATACATACATAGTGAGAGCTCATCTCAAAAGAAAGAAGGAGGAGGAGGAGGAGGGGAAGGGGAACAGGGAGAGGAAGCGGAGGGGAGGGGAGGGGAGGGGAGGAGGGAAGGTGGAAGAGGATGAAGAAGAAGAAGGAGAAGGTACAAGCAGTGTAGAATACACAATGCCCTGGGTTGAGTCTCCCAGACTAAACACACAGCAAACAAAAGACATCGTAAGTTACACTAAACTTATCCATAGACTGATATATACGTACAATAGATTTATTCTATGCTTACAATAATATTATTGCACGTTTGTATTTCTAACACTACAAGGAAATAAGCAAAAGTTTCCTAAACAAAGCACTCCTCACTCACAAGACTTCTGCACAACTGGCAAAGGCCTGGATTGCTGAGTTATGCAGGTGAGACCATGGTACAGAAGCCCAAAGGGGACACTGCGAAGAGGCCGCTCGGGAACGTGGGAACAGCCCTGCCCAGCAACATCCCAGGGCAACTGCAGGAGGAAACACAGAATCTGCAGGGTCACTGCCTGCAGGTTCCTGCTCAGTAACGTACCGATTTCAGCTGGAAGGTGCAAGATTTGGTTTTTTGGCAGATCCAGAATTCTCATTGCTTGAAACAGCTCGATGTACGTAGGAATGACTTGAATCAGCGTGTTGCTTATGTGCCATTCTTTCAGGTGTGTCTGCTCCTTCAGCGAATCGGGGAGCTCCTGCAACAGGACAGGGGACAGCAGTCACAGCCAGCTCCTGGGAACCGCACATTTATTTTAAAAAGCCAAAGCAGGACAGCAAACACGACAGCACCAGACGTGGCTGGCAGTGCGCCGGCCCCTGGAGAAGCCAGAGACACCTGCAATGGTCCCGCTCTGACCGATGCAGTCCGCCCCCTTTCCAGCGCGCAGTGTCATTCAGATCGAATCTCCTGAGCACGGCTGGGTGGGGCTGGGGAGCGCTGGGCTCCGGCTCAGGCTGCACCGCTTCCTGGGCGCCCCGCGTCCTCAGGCCCCCACACTGAGACAGGAGGGAAGAGGCCGATGCCCCCACACGGTAATTTATTGTTTCCACAGCTGCCCCCAAACCCATCACAGCCACCTTGGCGACGTCAGCTGCCCCACAGCCACTCCATGGGTTTGCTGGGGTGCAGTGAGCTTTGCAGGAGGCTCATCCAGGTGACCCCACCCCTCCACAGAGTCCTCAGCCGGGTCTGAGGGGCCCCTCCTGCACCCGTGACCACACAGTGTGAAACACGGACCATGAAGGACACTTCCCCACGCCCTCGCGGGTCACTCTCTGAGCTATTCTTAGGCGGCAGCTGAGTCCAAAAAGTCTTTCTGGATGCCTGCTTGTGACCTCATCTGACAGCGCAGGCCGCACTGGTGCGCGAAGAGTTGGTGGCCAAGATGGGGGCTGCCGGCGCGCTCCCCAGACTAAACGAGCTGCACTCTGCCCATCCGTGGCTCCTCTATAAACTGGCCCAGAGGGCCCTAGGGAAGGAGGGACAGGACGTCCAGTGCCGTCCCGCTTTGGTGCCAGGTAATCTAACACGCTTCCTGACCATTGCTGGCAAGTGTTAAGATTAGAACTCAACAGGGCCATGAGACAGGTGAAGGGAGCGTGATTTAGGCCCACTTGAAAGAGGAAATCCAAAACCAAAATGCATAAGTGAATCACTTGAAGACTGGCTGCGCACTTCGCAGGACCTACTGCAAAATGAAAATTGGTAAAAAATTAAAAAAAGAAAGAAAACAATGGATGAAAGTCCAAATCTACAAAATTCTACTTGGCAGGAAATTTGATGATTAAAAAAATAACTTCTTTATGGTTAAAGAGAAAAAAAAGAAAAGATAAGAAAATTGGGCCCCTTGCTTAAAATTCCAATACTGTGGGCCAGGGATTTAGCTCAGTGGTTCTGCCGCCTGCTTCGCAAGCACAAGGATGGAGTTTGATCCTGGTACAAAAAAAAATAAATAAATAAAATTCCAGTACTCTAACAGCCATGCAGTAAGCCAAGCAGGGCCTCTCTGAGCTCAGAGCCCTGTGGCCCTGCTTCTCCGCCAACTGCAGGTTAGGACCCGCAAGCCACCACCAGCTCTCCTGACCGGAAGGGAGCACCCGCAGGAGTGCGCAGGAGCTGGCCACCGGCTCCTCCCACGCAGATGCTTCCACTACCCGGGCCCCACCAATAACTTCTTTCCTTTCAGTATAGCATGCTAGGCAGATGACAGCAGCTCCTAAAACTACGTCCAAAACTATTTCCACTGACGTGGGGGAAGAAGTAGGATTGTAGGAGCCGGCCATCGCCCGCTGGCATTTGACATTGGAAAAGTAACCTCTTCTACCATTGAGGCATTGACACAATCTATGACTCTATCTGTTTGGCTTTTCTGAGACAAGGGTCTCAGCTAAACAGATGAGATTGACCTGGAACTCACTGTGTAATACAGGCTGGGTTTATGGGATGACAGGTGTGCACCGCCACGCCCGGCTCAAGGACTTTGTTAAATTCGTTTGTTCTTTGACCTTGTGATGGGAGGAACTCAGAGAGCCAAAGATCTGATCTTCTCCCTAATAGTTGCTTGGTGCTTCCTGTTGGGTGCCTTTAAAAGGAGCTGTTTCTGTGAAATAAATCAGACCTCTTGTCTCCACACTGTTGAGTGTGCTGTCCTTTCTCAATCCTCACTCCCCAACTCAGGTACGTTCGTGTTGTGACGGCTGGGCCCCCACATAGGATATCGTGCTATACAAAAATCAAAGGAATTAGGTAAAACGGCAGACTGAACATCACATGTACTTCTGCTTCTCTCCAAAAGGTCTTTAAAACAGCAGGCAGGGCCCCGGATCTAGCTCAGTGGTTCTGGCGCCTGCATCACAAGCACAAGGCCCCGAGTTCGATCCCTGGTACCAAAAAAAAAGCAGGCTGTGAGCAAACCATTTAGAGGCGTGAACACTGCAGACAGGCAAAGACAAAGGAACTGTTGGTAGGTGCTCAAAGCCAACACAGCTTCCCCCAGTGCAACTCCATCTCCAGCAGGGAGAGAGACACAGCCCGGGCTTCCCCGGAAGCTCCTGAGACTTAGTGGAGGAGCCAAGTGCACCCACAGCTGAAGGCAGGGCTGGAGGAAGAGGCCTCCCACCTGTGCCTGTGCCAGTGGGGGCTGGGGCTCCACACTGGATGGGGTTAGCGAGTCCTTGGGGTCCCTCAGGAACAGCCAGGGTCAGGCAGGAACGATCCGGAGATGAATGATGAACATTCAGTATGTTAGTCCGCTTTCTGTTACTGTGGCAAAACACCTCAGGCAAACAACTTACAGGTTGAAAGGGTTATTTCGTCTCACACTCGCAGAGCCATGGTCGTCTGGCCCTGTGAGGCAGCACAGCCGCTCCCCACACGGTGGCCAGGAAGCAGGCAGACCGGAGAAGGGCCGGGCCGGGTCCCCTAGACCTCCAGGCCACCCCCACGACCTCACTTCCTCCACTAGGCTCCACCTCTTAAAGGTGCTGCCACCACAGACAGTGACCCAGCCTTTCACGATTGGGCCTTTAGCAGATGTTCAAGATAACACTGAGGGCGCTTGGTTTTGGAGAACCATGTATTCAGGAAGTGCTCACCCGCTGTGGCTTCACGGAGCCCTCAGAGCATCCTGCTCAGCCGAGACAGGCCAGTACCAGTTCCTGTGCCCCTGGCAACTTCCCGGATGAGCAGATGGAGCCCCAGCCTGGGTCAGGGAGCGCAGCCAGGACACCACCTATAGACCCGGGGGAAAGAACTAGGGGCCTCTCCTCTGGCCTCAGCACCACAGGACAGGAAGCTGCAGGCAGGGTATGCAGGAACCCGGGGCCCTCTGAGGCCCAGGACGAGCGGGGCATCTCCAAAGGCCCAGGCATTCAGCAATGAGCTGTTCTGATGCAGAGGGAAAGGGACGCTGGACTCACCTTCCAGTGCTCCCCACAGAGCTCAAACACGAACCGGCTGCTGCGTCGAGCCCCGTCCTTGGCACACAAGCTCCGTCTGGCGAGGGAGCCCTGCTCTATCCTGTCCAGAAGCCTGGCGCCATTGTCCACCAAGCCATTCTTGCAGTACTGGGCCTGGGGGATGCCCTTCCTCCGGCACTCCGCCACGAAGTTCCACTCCTGCTTTATCCTAGGACGGGCAGGGAGCCATGGTTACTCTCCTCGGCTGGCTTCCAGGTTCATGTGCAAATGTAACCTTCTTAATTGGACTTTTTGCGCTAAAGAAATCACTACCTAGTTACTGCTGGGGTTTCATGCTGTTAAATTGAAGGGAGCAGAAACATATATTCCAAATATATTTACATACAATTCCACCTTTATATTTATATCTACACATTCATTTGAGGGGTTTTTGTTTGGTCTTTTGGGGTTTGTTGCTTTGTTTTGTTTTTTTGGAACAGGGGATCAAACTTGGGACCTTGTGCTTGCCAGGCGGGGATGGTGCCGCTGAGCTACATCCCAAGCCCTGACTTTCTGTTTTTGTTTTGAGACAGTCTTGCTATGTAGCCCAGGCTGGCCTCGAGCTCGAAGCCATCCTCCTGCCTCAGCCTCCCGAGTGCTGGGATCACAGGCCTGTGCCACCATGCCAGATTGGTGTTTGGTTTTTCTCCTGGCAGCGCTGGCTGGCACAGGTACCCAGGTCTCCATCCCAGGAGCCGAGCCGGGGAAGAGCACGGGGACCTGACCTGGACCTGACCCGACCTCACATTGCCTCACTTCCCCTTCCTCCGGCCGGGCGCCACCTACTTTTCCAGGGCGCTCTGCTCCAGCCGCTGCGCCTCCCTCCTCTGCCGGGCTTTGTGCTTCTTGACTCGCGTTTCCCACAGGGCTCTGACGACAGAGATGTCGAACACCACCACCTTGTGCCCCATGCTGGAAGCGTGCAGTCACCTGATTAGAAAAGCAGACACGGGTCAGCTTCCCACACTTGTCTCACACACGGGTGAACAGTTGTGGCTGCCTTTCATTTTCGTGGGCTTTTTGAGACAGGGTCTCACTATGTCACCAGGCTGGTCTCAAACTCACAGTGATCCTCCTGCCTCAGCCTCCTGAGTGCTGGGATCACAGACGTGTGCCGCCATGCCTGGCCAAAAAGTTTTAACAGGAACATTATGGCTGACAGGGCTCACAGAGATTTCTTCTCTCCTCGGACACGTGGGCCCCTCAGTCACGGTCGGCTCTGTCCTTGCCTCAGTGCTGGCCTGTCCAGAGCCTCAGCTCTCCTGCCAGCCACGCTGCCCCAAGTCCTTGCTCGGCTCAGGAAAGTCTCCATGACCTCCGGCCCCCTCTCCTCCGCAGCCTCCCCACCCCTTCCACACCAGCCACCACCAGGTAACGTAGGTAAAGGTGGCCCGGAACCCCAAAGACACCTCCCACCCACAGTGGGCCCCAGGACAGTCCCCGAAGTGTGAACCCTCACAAGCTGCTGCCTCCACTTGCTTGAGGACGGTAGACTCGGGCCTGTCTTGGCCAACACATTTCAGCGAGGTCCTAGAAACAGACCATTGTCCTGTTATGGTTTCTATCTACATGCCCACCCCAAAGCCTCACAGGTGGATTGGATCATGGGGCGTGATACGGTGCTTAACCACGGATTAGTCCACGGATGAGTTTATACTAAATGTGACCGGGGCGGGGGGGCCGGGTGAGAAGAGCTGGGTCACTGGGGCCATGGTCTCTCTCCCTCCTCCTCCCTTGATCCCTCTCCTTCCTGTCTGCCATGTCATGGGCTGCTTCTCCTCCACCAGGGCCCTCTGCCTGCTTCTTGGAGCCAGCTGACTGTGAACTGAATCCTCTGCAAACTGTGAGCCAAATAAATCTTTCCTCCTTTAAACTGTGGGGTCGGGAATTGTGTCCCAGCCTCAAGGAGGTAGCTAAGACCTTTCTCTACTCTCAATTTCACCCATAGAATCACGGAAGGCTCAGAAAAATGTTATGTTGAGCTGGGGATATGGCTCTCGGGTAGAGCACTTGCCAGGGACTTGCTTCTGGTCCTCAGGGAAAACAAAATCTGTCTCCCTCCATCCCTGATTCCTGGCACTGTGCCTGGAAGGCTTCGCATAAACGCTTCCTGAGTGAGATCTGGATTGCTTTATTCTCAGGCCACTCGAGGAGCTTTCTCTATTCCTTTTATTTTCCCACTCCATATTTACTGTGCATTTTAAGTGATTACTCGCTCTGAGCAAAAATAAAAAACTATCAGAGTGGTGCATGGTAGCACATGCCTGTCATTCCAGCACTCAAGAGGCTGAAGCAGGAATGATTTATGAGTTCAAGGCCTCTGGGTTACATGGTGAGAATTATCTCCTCAAATTTTTTTCACGAAGTTATCAGGACACCAAAGTGCATCTCAGTGTTTACTCCACCAAGCTGCCTTTCTGTTTCCAGCCTAGCTCCTCCCATCTGCAGCATGGAAGTCTAGCTAAATCCATTCCCCGGTTCGCACAAATATATCAAGGACCCATTGGTAAATAATAGGGCTGGAGAATGTCCTCGACTTTCAGAGGCCAAATGCTTTGCGCTCTGACTTGGGAGTGTGCTATCTGTAAATGGTTCGTCCGTGTGAGCAGGAAAGCCAGCTCGTTTGTGCTCCGAACACCGGAAGTCCATAGTGTGAGTCTGCCAAGTAGACAGCTCCGACCCCAATTTATTCCGCTCTTTGCTTTCACTTCTGATACTTGGGGCTGCTCTTTGTTTCCCTTAAAACTCTTTTCCCTAAGGAGATTTTTTGATAAAGGTGTGAGGGTGCAGAAGGTTTGGTGTGGACATTTGTTTTCATTTCTTGCGGGTAAATACAGAGGTAGAACTACGGGTTTGTGGTAGCTCTGTGTTTACGTGTTTCAGGACCTGCCCACTGCTTCCCAAAGCAGGTACATCACTTTAGAACCTCATCACCAGTGACTGGGGGTTCCACCTTCCCTGCCTCTTTGTCAACACTTTTTATTATCTGTCTTTTTATCGTGGCCATCTCAGTGGGCGCGAAGTAGAGTCTCACTGTTTTGATTTGCATTTTCCTAATGACTAATGATGTTTAGCATCTGTTATTGGGCATTCGTATATCTTCTTGGCAAGAATATCTATTTGCCTCATTTACCTATTTTTAACTGAGCTAATTTTTTTAACTGTTGCATTGTAATAGTACTTGACATATTCTCACTATCTCTCTTTACCAAGTTCTTTTCTCGTTTTTATGGCTGCCCTGGGAACCACAAGAGACACGTTTACCTTTTCACAGTCAATTTAGAAACAATTACCTCATCACTTGGAGTGAGAGGTAGAAACCTTCCCCCACCTAGGTCCCCGTACATCACTTTTGCGTCGTCTTGTGTAGTCTGTCAACGGTGGTACATTTATGGCTTCTAGTCTTATTCTAAAGGACTGCAGAGATGGAACTAGCCCATTATCCTTACCCTGATATTTACTACTGTGCTGCTCTTCCTCCCTGCTGCTCAGGTTTCCCTCTGATTCCATCTCCCCCTGCCTAAGACTCCCCTTAGTAATTATCCGCGTGCCAACATATTCTCTTTCTCTTCTCTGAGGACGTGGCGGAGGGAGAGGCTATGTTTGCTGGTTATGAAACTCTGGGTCTGCCATTCTTTTCCTTCACCACTTTGAAATGCCACATCATGTTATCCTGACACTTATGGTTTCTGATAAGAAATTTGATTCTCCTACAGGTGATGCATCCTTTTTCTTTTCTTTTCTTTCTTTTTTTTTTTCCTGATACTGAGGAATGAACTCAGGACCTTGCACTTGCTAGGCAGGCACTGTGCCAATGAGCTAAACCCCTAGCCCAGTGTATTTTGTTTTCTTAGATCAGTTATGGAGTGCCTGGGCATTTATTTCTTTGGAGCTTGTTTATCCTCTTTAACTGGTTGGTTAATGTCTTTTGCCAAATTTCAGACTTTTTGGCCATTATGTCTTCAAATATTTTTGCCTGCATCATCTCTTCTCTCTTAGGACTCTGATGATGCAGACATTAGACCTCTCAGTATTGTTTCTCAGATTCTTGAGGCATTTATGGATGTTTTATAAATAAATAGTCCCTTCTCTCTCTCTCTCACTCTCTCTCTCTCTCTCTCTCTCTCTCTCTCTCTCTCTCTCTCTCTCTCTCTCTCTCTTCCTTTATTTTTGAGACAGGGTCTCACTATGTAGTGAGACTGACCTGGAACTCACTACACAGTCCAGGCTGGTCTTGAATTCACAGTGATCCTCCCGCCTCAGCCTCCTGAGTGCTGGGATTACAGGCGTGCGCCACCACATCTGGCTTCTCTGTTTTTATATTGGCAATCTCTAGCAACCTTCAAGTTTCCTAATGCTTACATATTTTTACTTCTCAATTTCCTTGTGGTTCTTTATATTTTGTTTCCTTGTGGGTACTTTCTGTCTTCCCATTCCTACACCAGGGCTGAGGGTGAGTACCCAAAGAACAAACTGGAAGGGAGTTCAGACTTTTGGGGGTGTGTGGGGTACTGGAGATAGAAACAAGGGCCTTGCACATGCCAAGCAAGCACTTTTCTACCACTGACCTTTACCCAGCCCTTTTTATTTTTCATTTGGAGACAAAATCTCTGTAAGTTGCCCAGGGTGAACTTAAACTTGTGATCCTCCTGGCTTAACTAGCTGGGATTACAAGCACACATCACCAGTGCCAGACCTCACTGTAGAAGTTGTGGGTTAGTCAGGCTCTTCTGGAGTTGCTGGGCAACCAATGGGCCATGCCTCCCTAGAGCAGGTTGCCACAGCGAGTTGACACCCGGTGGCGTGGCAGGAGTCCGGTGCTGGGTGGGGCAGAGGCCATAGGTTGGTGTGTGGCCCTCAAGGCCAGCAGCCATGGTCTGGAAGGCAGCCTGGGGAAGCGAGCACGCCGGCTGCCCAGGGTGCCTTCCTGGTCCACAGAGCTGCAGGGAGGCGGCGCCCAGGCCCAGGCTGCAGAGTTGTGCAGGACCACGTTCACTCTGAGGAGCAAACATGAGGGGGCGCGGAGGGCCAGGCCGAGGCAATGAGTCCACGCAGGCGCACCAGAAACCCACGCTGCCTTCCGGCCCACGGCAGTCACTTCCGGCTTTGCAGAGCCACGCTGCTGTGGCCCGCTTGTGCACCAAGTGGCTAGTATGGCGGAGACCTGCCGAGGAGCCAGCTGCGGGGTCAGATCCCTGTGCAAACCGGAAGGGCCGGGGACTGCACAGAGGACCCAGCGTTGCCTCGTAGCTCTTCCCTATCCCTGAGCACCCAGCCCTGTCCTCCAGATTCAGGGTTTCCCCCACCCCAGGCAGGAACCGGTGATTCCTAGGACAGCGTCTGCATCCTGGACACCTAGGGGAGGCCGTGGGAGGACAGGGGCAAGGAGGGTTTACTCTGCCCACTAAGGCTACAGCTCCTCCCACCGGAAAGAGAAAATCCTTGATCCCAATTCTACAGGGAACCTAGGCAATCTGCAGTGAGCCAGAAAGAGGGCGGGTGAGGGGACTGTGGTGCTCTAGGGAGGTGCTGGTCAGAGGATATAGACCTTCTGACTGGCAGAAGAGAGACAAGGCAATAATAATGCATTGTAGCCAAGCAGAGTGGCCAGTGCATGCCTGTAATTCCAGCCACAGAGGAGACTGAGGCAGGAGGATTGCAAATCCGAGCCCAGCCTGGGCAGCTTAGCAATATCGCAAGATCCTATCTTAAAATAAGAAATAAATAGGGCTGGGGACTTAGCTCAGCAGTTCGGTGGCCTGCCTTGCAAGCGCAAGGACCCGAGTTTGATCCCCAGTACCAAAAAAAAAAAAAA